TCCGTTTAGAGTACTTGACTTATTTGAAAGGCCTTATGTGGGCTGTCAACAGATTGATCTAACCATAAACACTATTGAGAGCCAACCTTCAACCATTGAGGACATATGTGTTAAAAATGAATAGAATTGTACAAATCCCGTGATTGGGTATCTTAAGGAACGATGCTTCTGAATTACCATATTCTTGCTTATTTGACGCTAAGGAAGCTGGTGACAACAAATTGATTTGATTGTAAACAGTACTGAATAGTTATCCCCGACTAATCAGAGTATGTCTCATGTGTCTGCTTTAATGTTATCGAATTTTGGGAAATCCGGTTATGGTGAGTGGTATTGTGTTGGTTTTGATGACATTCTAGAGACGTCTTTTAGTGCTAGGGGACGTTAAGTCTATGTAGCACATTTGTTGAGATATCTCTTTTGCCACCAACGGTCTCGTACGGGTGGGTTTGTCTAATTGATCCCGGGTTGGCTACCGACGGTCGTGAACGGGTGTGCTTTGGTTCTGAGACGATTATTTCCTTGTGTTTGTTCGGAATGTCTTCCTTGGGTATTATATAGATGTTGTTAACATCCAAGAAGCTTTGGAAAAAAAAAACCCTGATTATCCGAAAGTGTGTGAATTCAGTACACTCTGTGTAAATAACTGCTCAGTGCCATTATATTCTGTAATTGGGGCTCTGGGGATGTGTAAATTGTGCTTAATATGTGATTGACTCCTTTGATATTGTCCTTAACATCATGGGGATTTGTACATGCATTGCCTTATGCTTTTGACGATTATCAGATAATATGGAAAGACTCGATAGAACAGGAGATTGAATGTAGACTGAATTGTAAACCGTAAACTGTTGAATGAATTGAGGACACGTGTATTGTGTTAGAAATTGATTACTTCGATGCTACCTTTGTTGATTCGGGAATCAGTATCTAGATCTACTTCATATTCCTAAAGACTTTTGGTTAACCTTGGATAACTGTGATGAGCCACTAAACTAAGTACTGAATTGGGTTGTGAATTGCGGAATTATTGAGGAATGAATTGAACTTCTGTGACAAGGAAATGGATCAAACTTCTATGGTAAGGTTAGTTAGCATTTGAAACAAATATGTTGACGAGCCTTCAAGAGGCGATGGAAACTAAATTGGGATTCAGCGCTGCTTTCCATCCGCAAATTAATGTATGATTAGAAAGAACTTTTTAGACTCTAGGAGAAATGTTCCAAATGTGTGCTTTAGATTTTCGGGGAATTGGAAAAATCTATCCATCGTTGGCAGGCTTCGCTTCCAACGATAGCTCGCACTCTAGTTTCGGTATGGCACTACACAAGCCTTTTATGGCGGGAAAGGTAAGTCTCTGACTGATTGAGAACAGAGTGTTGCTTGATTTTGAAACTAAGCAGATAATTATCGGAAGGGTTGGAACCGTTGAATAAGAAAGTATTCCGAATTGTTTTCAGCTAAAGAAAAAATAAGTTTTGAGGACCAAACTTCCTAAAGGGGGGAAGATTGTGATAACCCTGTCCCTTATTATGCTAATTGGTCCTTAATACAAATGTGATTATGTGTTTTGATATGATTTTGTGTGCCATTATGTGAAAATATGTGGTTTTGAATTTCTATCTGTTCACCGTAGAAATATCTGTTTGCTTATCTACTTTGGGAATTAAATTGAAGGCTTTATCGGCCACAGAACCCGAAATTGACTACGCCATTACGATTGGCATGATTTTTAGAGCCTACGGTGAAATTTAATTGAAAATTGATTCGGATCAAAATAATTAGATTCAGAACGACTAATTAAGTGCTCAATTATTTGATATTAAAATAATGTGACTTAGTGGGACTTTATAAGGGCCTTATTATATTCATTCATTCTCTTTAAAATCATTTGGCTGATATCAACTCTAAGAGAGGGAAGAGAGGGTCGGCTAGAGAGGGAAGGAGGAAGGATTGCATGATTTGGCTCAAGGTTTGTGAGATTGAGAAGTTAAACTCAAGATTCAACTAGAAATTGGGAAGATTAAGGCTCCTAGGTGAGTAATCAACCCTTGACTCAAGGATTTTTGTTTGTAATTTGTAAATTCAAGTTTGATTAATGGTCAAGAACATGAGCTAGATTGATTATGATGAAATTGAGTTGGTTTTGTTAAAATTGAAGTCTTAGAACATATGCATGTAAGAATTTGCCATAAATTTCCATATTTGAGCATAAAGTATGTAATCCATGTTGAGTTTTGATTAATGACCATGTATTTGATCATCTCTCCACCAATTAAGTTGAGGATATTGTGTATATTTCACATGCAAGTGCAAATCATGAGAATTTGAGTCTTACATGTTTGAATCTAGTGTGTTGGTGATGAGTTTGAGTTAATTTGAGACATGCATGTGATTAAATTGTGAAATTGAGCTTCATTGTGTTATAATTTGGTGTTTATACCATGTTAGAATATGTATATGTGAAGTTTGAGCCAAAAATCATGCATTTGGAACCTTTGAATGTCGAATTGAAGCTCAAGATCATAATCTGGATTTTCCAGAATTTTGATTCCCGCTCGAGCGGGGAAACCGACGCTAGAGCGTGAAAATCGTGTTCCCAGTATTTTCTGCAGACATGGTGTCCAAGCGGGTAAGTTCACGCTCGTGTGGGGAGCCATGTTGAGAGGCCTTCCGCTCGAGCGCCAGAGTTCGCGATCAAGCGTAATTTTGATGCATCCAGCACTTTTGCAGGCCTCAAGGGTCCGCTCGAGCGGGGAAGTCCACGCTCGAGCGGAGATCCTGTTTTCTAAAATTTTGAAAATGCATTCTGTGTTCCGTTTTCTCTTCCCTTTCACTTCTAAGTACTCTTCGGCATACATTGAGCATTATAAGTAAGTTAGAAGAATAAGAATTAAGCCTAAAGAGGAATATGTGAATTAAGAACGGATTGAACCGGTTGTGACCCATATGTGTTATATGATGTGTAGGGTCAAGCTCTAGGGCAAATCCACAAGCCGATCACTGTGAGTAATATCTTAACAAGATATTTGAAATATACCGTTGCCCAATTGTTTACTTCTATGTAAGTTTTGTAAGTTCATTAATTTGAATAGTGGACGACGATTGACTCAAATGATTGGGCCAAAGGCCGTTTTGACACAAATAAAAGTTTAATATGTATGAATGGGCCAGAGGCCAGTTTGACATGCATGAATGGGCCAGAGGCCAGTTTGACATGCATGAATGGGCTAAAGGCCAGTTTGATATGAAAGTTTGAAAGGCCTAAAGGCTAGTTTGATATGAAAGTTTGAAAGGCCTAAAAACCAGTTTGATATGAAAGTTTGAAAGGCCTTTAGGCCAGTTTGATATGAAAGTTTGAAAGGCCTAAAAGCCAGTTTGATACGAAAGTATGAATGGGCCAGAGGCCGTTTTGACATGAATGAATGGGCCAAAGGCCGTTTTGATACGAAAGTATAAGTGGGCCAAAGGTCAGTTTGATACGAAAGTATAAATGGGCCGAAGGTCAGTTTGACATGAAAGTGTGAATGGGCCAAGGGCCAGTCTGACATGATAGAACGAATAGGCCAGAGGCCAGTATGATCTATATCTATTTATATGCTAGATAGAAATATGAATTGGGCCTAGGGCCATCTGACGTATATTGTTCCAATGTATTTTCTTTATTTGATATTATTCACTGGGCTATCGCTCACGCTCATTCATGTGTTTGTAGGTAAGCCAAGAAAAGTCCAAACCCAGCCCTAGTGAAGTATGTGTGAAACAACTAAGGTTTTGAAGAGTCAGCCCTTGCGTCTCACACACGAGACACGTCTTCGCCCTTCAGCCATTCTATGTTATTTTGTCATGTTGGTGAGGACTTTGGTGTACGTCTGTATATAACTTTGTTTTGGCTGACTTAGATTTGAATGATCCTGTCTGTATAGAACTTTATGTTACTATACTTTTTGTTGTGAATTATTAACATATGTATGTATGGAATGTTATGATGTGCATATAAGCACGGCTTTATGGACATAGTTTTAAATTGCTTCCGTTTGGCTCCCGGTAACTCTATTAAAATACGTTCGGTTTGGTTTGAGGCCATAAGTAATCTCATGATTACTGACCGGTTATGTCCTTAACCCACAGGGGCGGGTTCGGGTCATGACAATTTTCTTATTTTTAAGTAATCTTATTAATTTTTCATTCATTTCCTCTTTACCTGATTTACTCTCTCTTTTTTTTATTTTCTTTTTTCTGTTTTTCAATTTACCAATATTTGTGACGTTTTAGTTGATATATTTTTTTTCAACCTTTTGAAATATAATTTTCATTTTCTCAAATTGTTACCAATATATCGTGATATTTAGTGATATGTGAACAAAATTTAATGATTGTCCATATACAATGAAACAAAAAAGGGATAATAATTTTTTGAAACTTGTACTTTGCCACTCGAAAAATTAAAAGTTATATTTTGCACGCTACATATTTATATTTATATTATTTAGTAAGTTTTTTCATTTATGATGAAAATGTTGTCACTTGCATAGTTTTAAAAAATATAAAGCACAATAGTCCCCTTCCCTTAAGTGCTCTCTCCTTTCCATTGTAATATTTCTTAATTAATAGTCAAATGAATTTAATGTGGTCAATAACATATATGACTTTCTTACCATAGTTACCAAGATTAGTATTATTATTATTATTATTATTATTATTATTATTATTTATTTGAGTTACCCAAATTATTAGCATGACTCATTTAGGCAACAAAAATGATTGTAATATCCAAGACACGTCTTGACCAACGTTGACCATAAACCTTACCTTGTGTCCACTTTCCAAAAATTTGGTCCTAAATTGTTGGCTAATCTACTTCACAAACACTATAAATACCACTAAGGGCCTTAGTAGAAGACACTCATCAGTGACAAAGTGAAATACATTTCATTTCATTTCATTTCTTTTTAAATCATCAAATTCAAAAGGGCTGTAAAGCAACACAATCACCAAAAATGACAAATAGGGTCAAACTTGCATTCATAACTGATAATGCTGCAAGGAAAACCACCCTCAGAAAAAGGAGAGCTGGCATGATCAAGAAAATTAGCGAACTCTCCACACTATGCGACATCGAAGCTGGCATCGTCATTTACAACCCAGGGGAGGTTACACCAACGGTATGGCCATCATATGAGTACATGAAACAAATGTTTAAGAGGTTCTTAAGCATGTCAATAATAGACAGAAGCCAAAAGATGGTGACATATGAGGGCTACATCATACAAATAATCACCAAGGAGACTGAGAATAATATTACAGAAAAGAAAAACAATGATAAAAAAGAAATTCAAGAAATCATGAACCAAACATTTGAAGGAAATGACTTAAATGAACTTGACATGACGATACTAAATTTATTGTCTTTGTTGGCAGATGATAAGCTGAAGCAACTAAAGAAGAAGCAAAATTGGCCCCGTGGTCAACAAATGGCTCTTCTTCCTCCTCCGCCTCTGTCACCAGTTTTAGCTCCTGAAATCATAGAAGTGGAAGAAGGAATTCGAGCTCCAACTAATGGTGAAGATGGAGAAAGCTCGATTAGGATGATAATTCAAGAGTTGATGAACGATCAGTGTTTCATGGAAACAACGGCAGAACACATGGAGCTATTGCTATCAAAGGATGTTGAGGGAACAAGTTCAAGTAAAAATGAAGAAGACCTACCGAAGGACTTAAATGAAGTGTTCCCTCATATTTACTTCCCATGAAACACTTAGTTCACATTGTTCTTAAATAGTGTCTCCAAAATCTATGTGTGTTGGGAGACAAAACCATTTGTATTGTGACAAAGTGTGTTTCTTTTATTTTTGATAAATGATTAAAGTTTTTTTTTTTTTTTTTTTTGCAACTTTGGTATGTAACAACCATGACTACAAGATTTTAAAACTATAGTGACAAAATATACATTAATGACACAAAAAGCCATTAAAACTACACACACAAGGAAAGATAAATTTTTGTGGATGTGTAAATCCATTTTATTTTATGATTGCTTGTTCTTTTTCTTTTTCTTTTCTGGATAAAACCATTTTTAAATAATTACCAAATCCATTAATTTCATGATAAACAAAAGTGTGACATGTTGAATTGTTACATTCACTTCCATGCACTTTCTTGTCAAAAATATCATGTTAATAATAACCATTTTTAAATAATTACCAAATCCATCAATTTCATGATAAACAAAAGTGTGACATGTTGAATTGTTACATTCACTTCCATGCACTTTCTTGTCAAACATATCATTTTTTTTTTTGATCGGCAAACTTGTCAAAAATATCATGTTAATAATTTTCCCACTACATGAGAGTGGGATCAGATAATAATTGAATATATCATTTACACACCTTGTTTTAATATATATTCTTCTTTTTTTCACGTAACAATCAAGATCAGAACAATAATCGGTAATTCAAACTCCACATGCCCTATTTTGTTTTAAGAAATTACAGTTAAATAGATTTTCCATTCAGTGAATGCACTACAAGAAAAGTTGCCTATTGCAACGTTTCTTTTATGGCGTTTATGAAAAACGCCATTATAGATTAGTTAAATACAACGTTTTCAAAACGTTGTCTCTCATCTCGGTAATATGGCGCCGCTTGGGTCAATTTGTTGACACCGTTCAATAGTCCGTCCATTTCAAAAACGTCTCTCACTCTCACTCGCACTTTTCCACAATCCAAACTCTTTCTCTCTCACTCAGAAACCCATTCGATTTGAAGCTCAGAAACCCTCATTCTCACTGATCAGCTCTCACTCTCGCTCTCGCTCGATTTCAAACAAACTCACACGACTTTCTTGTCTAACTTGTATGATATCAGTTTCCCAACCAAAGATGAAAATGAGGAACAAGAGCCCGCGGTGATCTTTTGGCGATTGCACTGCCAAAAATTGGTTGTTTTGGCCACATTTTTTCTTATAGATAAAGGAACACAAACTTGTGAGGCATTATCTTTATAAAAAAAAATAAATTTATTAAAACGACATTTTAGAGAATACAAAACTACTTTTAGATTTATAAAGTAGGTTTTGTAGTTAGTCAATAAGCCAGTGATTGAAAGAGTTTTTTTTTTTTTTTTCATATATAATGTTAGCCTAATTTTTCAATGTATGAAGTTCATTTTGTTAACATATCACTTTTCATTTATTTTTATTTTTTTCATGCAATGAAGGCGTAACTAGACAGTTCCATGTTAAGGTGTACATTATGGTTCTAAGATATCTTTTTTCTCTAATCAATGGAATTAAATTAGAAACACATTAATTCTTTGAATAATATTAGGGATCATGAAAAAAATATCATGAAATATATCATGAAGATTTTTCATCCTTTAATTAGTGTGTGGTGTTTTATTGTATGTATAATCCAAAGATAGAGAATTTTTCATGATCATTTTTATGATATTTTTTTTTATGATTCCTAACATTACTCTGATTCTTTTTCCACCTACACCTTGTATTCTCTAAGTCCTAATTTCCCGTGTAATGTTTAAAGTGAAAACTGAAAGCTCGGTACTTCAATTATTGACGTAAACAAAATATAATCCTCACACACAAATAGAGTATAGTAGAATTTAGGCCAAGCTTGGCATCTTCAAAAAAAATTCAAAAAGTCAAAAAATCATTATTCTATTTAAGTCACGTCATCTTATTTAAGTCACATCACCTCTCTATGACATCACTTCAAACCCAATTCATACCCAACCCATATTTTATAAAAAGTTAAAAAATACACTTATTTAGAACATCTCAAATAACCCCTTACTATAAGACATTTATTATAATAACAAAAAGGCGGTTTCAATTCCAAAAGTTAGTGGTTTTAGCTGAGCGACATGAATAGCTCAGAATCAACACGTCATAACCGAAACTAATTGAATTACTCATTTCAACAACGGTGGTGTTATATGGATTAATTAGTATATTAATTAGTGTATCAACACTAGTTATGATATTATTATTAACTTCACTCATTAATCACATTAAAAATACCAAAAATCTCTTAAATTATGTCACATCATCAATTAGTACATTAATTAGTATACTAATTGGTGCATATAGCATTATTCATATACTACATATAAGAATCTACAATAAATATGACAGAATTTAACTAACAATATTTTCCCTAAAAACATTAAAAACAAAATAAAATTAGATAATGTATGTATAAAAACATTAAAAAAAATTGTAGTTGGAGGCTTCAGCAATTACCAAATTTGTGGTAAGACAAATTCAAACAATCATTAAAATTTAAATCCTACACATTAATGACAAGAATACATAAATATTTTTACAAAACTCTAGGTTGTCTTGGGCCCACAGCGTATACTAAAATATGGATATCAAATAAAAGCCCAGAATATTAGAAATCATACCAAAAAAAGAAGGCCTGAAATTGATTATGCCAAAGCAAAGCCCAAAGAGAATTGGGCCTTTAACTCATCAGGTTCAGTTTTCGTTCTGAATAATAGGCCTGCCCAATTTCTTCTGCACAACGAAGCCCAAGAGGACAAACATATTGGGCTTACAATCATGGGCCAGCCCAATGTATATTCTCGCAGAGAACCTTCTTGACGAATTAGGGTTTTGGTTTTCGTTAATCTGGGAGACTCTTTAAAAGCACCTCAGTGCTCTCCCCATATCACCATTGCAATTTCTCACCATCCACTATCAATCTTCTTCCTTCGCTTTCCCTGGTAATCCTCATCTCTATCTAGTCTATATATACGTATATCGATGTTATGTTTATATGTGTGTTGACATGGAGTTTTGATGAATTTGTTGCAATTTTTATAGATCTGATGGTAAACTTCATGTGAATCTGTTTGGTTACTGAGAAAACGAAGTATAAAAGGGAAAAGAAAATAAAAATCTATGCTTTATGTTGATTTGGAATACCAGCACACTAAACGCAGCTGCATAGTTGAGTGGAGATTTAGGTTTTAATGATCTAGCATTCAAAATGTTATTCTCTCTCTCTCTCTCTCTCAGTGTGCTTGTTTGCATTTCGGTGAAAATTGCTATGGATATTGTAACTGGGTTAGAGAACCTCAAAAAACTAGATTTGGGTTACTTTTAATTTTTTTAATATCTTTGTATTGATAATATAAGATGAGTATTCATTGTTGTTGAATTTGGTTGTTAGATCTTTTACTGTCAATTCAAAACACCGGCCAAGATGCAGAATGAAGAGGGTCAAAACATGGATCTTTACATCCCCAGAAAATGGTATGGCATTTTTTGTTTATATATGTAGTGTTTTGTTGAGATTTGGGTTATGTGGTTTTTGTCTGAACTCTGTTATATGATTGCAGTTCTGCAACAAATAGGCTAATTACTGCAAAGGACCATGCGTCTGTCCAGCTTAATGTCGGGCATTTGGATGATAGTGGTGTTTATACCGGAACCTTCACCACCTTTGCTCTTTGTGGTTTCGTTCGTGCTCAGGTTATTTTTTGTTATCCTTCAAGTAACCATAAGCATTTGTGGTGTGATTTTTGCAAACTAGTTTGCAGTTGTTTGATAGTGATTGAGGTTGACTGTATAATTAGTTTTTTGTTCTTTTGGGGTTTATCTTCAGTTATGCATTTCTTTTTGTACGCCTAATGAAATGAGTGTAGAAACTGATTAGAATTTGGTTTAAGGTTGTTATACTTGTTTTTCCGTTCTAAATGTTGTGATGATTTATGGTAATGAAATTTTGGGAGTTCAGAATATGAAAAAGGGAGGGGGGTTGACTGTTCTAGAGATACAGAGAGGGAGTTCTGTAAGATATAATAAGGATTTAGTTGTTGCAGATTGCCTTTAAAGAACCAAGTGTGCCTGTTTTCCATGCTGCTTGTGTTCCGTTGCGGGCATAGAGTAATGCAGGTCCATCTCATCTTTGTAAATGGGATGTCTATGTATCCTCTTTTTGAGCAATAGAGGCCTCACAAATCTATTCTTTTGTAATTCTTTTTCTTTCTTTCACTTTTTTGAATTTATTGTTGTTGATTTGTTTTTTTTCCTTACTTGTTAATTTGAAAATGCTGGTGTACTTTTCTGAGGCCGATCCAAATGGGTTCTCAGTATAAACTGTGTGGGAACACAATTTCACCCGGCCTAGATTGTATTGGTGGGCAGCCTCAATGTATTACATGTTTTTTCTCATGTCTTATTTCAGGGAACTGCCCTACATTTTTTTTATTCATAGAGGAAATCTTTTTTTTGATATTGTTGTGATAGTAGATAGAAATTTTTTTTTTTTTTAAAATGAAAGGATATGTGATTGTTGACACAGATTGTCCAACAGAAGAAAATTGGTGCTAACAACTTCAACTTTTGTAGTTGTATTGACAATAAAGCTTTTATTAAAACAGATACATATTCATTTGATAGTCATAAATTGATTAGAAGTTGGTATGAGGTTTTGTTAGATTTGTTTTTCGCTTCCTAGTGGTGTGTAGATTTATGGTAATAAAAATTTGAGTGTTCAGGGTGATGGGGAGAATGGTGTTTTATTGAAAGCTAAAAATAAGCTGTGGAGGACTGCTGGTTGCATATGAGCAAAGGTGAAGCAAATGCTAGAGATTATAGATATAGTAATAGAGAAAATATTAAGTGTGGCAATTGGTAGTTTGTCTTCCAGTGGGGGGAGGATTTGATGTGTCAAATGTTAATAAAGTAGATGCTAGTTAACACCCTTTTTCCTGGCAAGTTTTCTAAGGCTCATGTTAGTTAGTTGCCTTAGAGAGAATAAGGATGTAGGTGTTGCAGATTGCCTCGAGAGAACCGAGCGTGCTGCACTTTTAAATGTCGCTTGTGTTTCGTTGCGGGCATAGAGTAAAGCAGACCTCTTTCATCTTTGCAAAAGGGATGTTTATGCCTCCTCTTTTTCAGCGACAGAGGCCTTAAAAATCTAATCTTTCGTAACTCTCATCTTTTCATTTACTTTTTCTAAAATTATGGTAGTTGATTTGTTCTCTTTTCTTATTTGCTAATTTGTAATGAAAGTACTGGTACTTTTGTGAGGCCGATCCAAATGAGTTCTCAAGTATAAACTGTGTGGGAACTCTATTTCACCCGGCCTAGATTGAATTGGTGGTTCAGCCTCTAGGTTTTGCTTGTTCTCTCATGTCTTAGTTCAGCGAACTGTACTACATTTTGTATTTCTGTGTCAAGAAAAAAATTAGATTGACGCAGTTCTGATGATGTGATAGTGGATAGAATTTTCAAGAAAGTGAAAGGAGAAGTGGCTGTTGGTAGTTACAATTTAAGTTTTGTAATCGAAACAGAAACATGATTTTGTTACTAAGACTGGGGCTCAGTAAATCAGTCCCATATCGGTTTGTGTTTTTTATTTACAATCTTTCTAATAGAATTCTCTTGTTTCCCGCCTGGTTTGATCTGTCAAAGCTTTTTTAATTTTGTTCCGCAACTCAAACGGGATTTTATCCTTTACAGGGAGATGCAGACAGCGCTGTAGATAGGCTGTGGCAGAAGAAGAAAGTTGAAGCAAGACAACAGTAGAAAGAGAGTTTTATGGGTTTCTTTGGATCAAAATTTTGCTTGAGGCATAGATGTTGCCATGAATCTTTTATCAGTTGCTGTGAAATGTGCAGCTAGTTTTCGTTTCGTTCCTTTGTTAACCCATTGAATTTCAATTTTGCTTTCAGTTTTTATGCACTTTGTTTTAGACTTATCTAAAAATATGTTTGTGTAAGCTAATAAAAGCTAATAATCTAAAATTAGAAGTTTGAAGCATTTTTTAATTGTTTTTATTTTTTAAAATTTATTTAAGTCATTCTGGACTAAGCAAAAGGCACTTGGTATTGTTCTAAGTTGGAAGCTAAAACTAAGAAACACCTGTTCTCAAATTGTAGGATAATTAGGCTTTTGTGATGCTAAGGACCTCCCAGTGACTGGGCACTCCCAGCACCCCTCCCCTCCAGTGCCACATGGCACACTGTCAATGGCTGAAGTCCAAAAAAAAAAAATTTTTTTTTTAGCCAATCAGCAAGGACCCCAGCACCCCCACTGGGGTCCAACGGATTTTCCTTAGTCTTTTTTTGGGAGTCCCTTAAAAAAATTAGTTTATTGGTTAAAAATAAACTTATAGTTTGTATAATTGCTGAATAAAATTTTTAAATTAAAAAAATTAATATTCAATTTTCTTTACTTTCATTTTAATTTTTCAATTTTATCAATCAACACCTGAATTTCCAACTCTGGTTGGATTCATCCTTTATTCAATTTTTTGTACTCCTGTTTCTTCATTTTATGTTTTTAAAACATGTCAACATGAATACAATAAAAAGGTGAATTACAGTAACGATTTTTATAGTTTGGAATTTGTGTTATTTTGATTAATTGTGAAATATTTAATTTTGAATTTTGAATCTCATTTCAAATAAGAATAATTAAAACACGGGTTCCTTTACAAACAGAAAATGCTTTATTTTAAGGACAAAGTTGTTAATTGGATAAAATATAAAGGGCAAATTACAAACGCCCTCCTCGAGGTTTGGTGAAAATACAGATTTTTCCCTGAAGTTTGAGAAATTACATCCCGTCCCCTGAAGTTTATATTTTCATAATAAATTGCCCCTTGAGGTTTTTATTTTCATACAGATTCTCCTCTAATTTTTTTGAATTTGTTATGAAAATTTGACCTCAGGGGACAATTTATAATTTCTCAAACCTCAGGGAGAATCTGTATTTTTATCAAATCTCGAAGGGGGTGTTTGTAATTTTCCCATAAATATTTATTCTTGAAAAATTATTCAACGAATGTTACGTTCATTGTTGCCCCCAGATTCTCCTTTAATTTTTCTTAATTTGTTATGAAAATTTGACCTCAGGGGACAATTTATAATTTCTCAAACCTCAGGGAGAATCTGTATTTTTATCAAATCTCGAAGGGGGTGTTTGTAATTTTCCCATAAATATTTATTCTTGAAAAATTATTCAACGAATGTTACGTTCATTGTTGCCCCCAGATTCTCCTTTAATTTTTCTTAATTTGTTATGAAAATTTGACCTCAGGGGACAATTTATAATTTCTCAAACCTCAGGGAGAATCTGTATTTTTATCAAATCTCGAAGGGGGTGTTTGTAATTTTCCCATAAATATTTATTCTTGAAAAATTATTCAACGAATGTTACGTTCATTGTTGCCCCCAGATTCTCCTTTAATTTTTCTTAATTTGTTATGAAAATTTGACCTCAGGGGACAATTTATAATTTCTCAAACCTCAGGGAGAATCTGTATTTTTATCAAATCTCGAAGGGGGTGTTTGTAATTTTCCCATAAATATTTATTCTTGAAAAACTTCATTTTATGTTTTTAAAACATGTCAACATGAATACAATAAAAAGGTGAATTACAGTAACGGTTTTTATAGTTTGGAATTTGTGTTATTTTGATTAATTGTGATATATTTGATTTTGAATTTTGAATCTCATTTCAAATAAGAATAATTAAAACACCGATTCCTTTACAAACAGAAAATGCTTTATTTTAAGGACAAAGTTGTTAATTGGATAAAATATAAAGGGCAAATTACAAACACCCCTCTCGAGGTTTGGTGAAAATACAGATTTTTCCCTGAGGTTTGAGAAATTACATCTCGTCCCCTGAGGTTTATATTTTCATAACAAATTGCCTCCTGAGGTTTTTATTTTCATACAGATTCCCCTCTAATTTTTCCTAATTTGTTATGAAAATTTGACCCTCAGGGGGTAATTTGCAATTTCTCAAACCTCAGGGGAGAATCTGTATTTTTATCAAACCTCGAGGGGGTGTTTGTAATTTGCCCAAATATAAACTAGTTTGATAAAAATAAATGTCAAAAAATTATTTTTAAATTTTTAAAAATTATTTCTCTCATCAAAGATAAAATTATATAAAAATGATAAATTTTTTACTTTTTTATTTTTTTATTTTTTTATCAAATTAATTTTTAGTATGTGTTTCGATGATGATCATATAATGGGTTATTGTTTTTGTTGATATTTTTGAATGGTTGTCATGTAATTAATGGTTGTTTTGTTATTAACAAATATTTTTGTATGGTTATCATGTAATGAAAATGAGTATTAGATTTTTAATGTGTAATCAATATGTTTAATATACGAAATATATTTAATGAATTTTTTGATTTAATAAATTGGTTTAATAGTCAAAATTATTGTCATGTTTGACTTTTGAAAAAATAGAAACTAATTTAATAAAAATAAATATAAAAAAATTATTTCTATATTATATAAAGATAATATGTTTTTAATTTTTTTTTCAAATTTAATTTTTAATTTCTTAGACAAATTTTCTGAAAATAAATTCTGAAAACAAAACAAAATAAAACAACTTTATAACCAAGAAAGTGCCAACATTATTCATTAAAATTAGTTGTATGACAACTTTGCCTTTGAAGTTGACCGTTTGTATAAAAAACATCTTTGATTGTCTTTATTTTGAACAATTTGGTAGTTTACGCATTTCAAAACTCATGATCAAATGCATCACAATTGAAAAGTTAAGAACCAAAGTGACAAAAACTCCAAATTACACGAGTAATTCTATTTACACACCACTATTTTGTTTAGTACCCACTGAGAGGGAGATTTCATAATCTGGCTTTGGGCCGTGGTAATGGCCGGGCTGAAAGTGGTCCAAGCGTGTTTGGGCCGAGCTGGGCTGGGCTGGGCCGTTCCAAGGGGAGTTTGCTCGGTTGAAATCTAGACCGTTTGCCGAGATGATTCTCTGTTAGCCCGGTTTTTATTGTTTGCTCTTTTAGCTCGGTGAGTAAGGTCCTCCGTAGACCAGCCCAACCGAGCAGGAGCTCGGTCATAATAGAGGGCTACTGAGCTCGGTCATAACGGAGGGCTACTGAGCTCGGTCATAATGGAGCTCGGCTAGGAGCACTGTTTGTCTCGTAAAGTAATACGGTCGTAGGAGGCTGGGTTAGCGTCGCCGGGCTGCCCATTCGCGCCAACGCCATTTGGTGGTTTGATTAGGTGGTGTTTAGCTGAATTTGCGCTGACATGTAGGAAAGCGTGATAGGAGAGCAGGTCCATGCGTCAATGGGCGAATGGACGTAGAGGTGAGCGCAGAAAGTATATAAACGTGACTGCGTCCCCCATGCGAGGGATGAAACATCTTCTGGTGAGAGAAACATTAACCCATTGTCTTCTCTCTCTCTCTGAGTGTGTGTTGACTTGACCATCGGAGGGGTTTTCCGGCAACGCACCGCCGAGTAGCTCACCTTCGTTGTGATCGCAGGTCGATCGGAGGAAGGCGCAGCTTGGACGCAAGAAGTACGGGTGGTACCGGATATTTAGCTCCCGTACAATTGGTGCCGTCTGTGGGAACCTTTGAGCAGACACAACCTTGCCCTCCAAGCTCATCGAATCACCTTCCATGGCAAACAACGACGAAATACCGTTGTCTGCCATTGACGGTATTACCCCAGAGTCAGTCCAACGGAGAGACGGACTTCCCGCCGTTTCGAATATGGCGGGCCTGGAGACTTCCCCAGGAGGACTTCCTAGAGATGCACGAGATAAGTGCGCCAGGAGCATTGGTCACTCGCAGAGTCTAGACAGACACCGGTGGCGAAGAGAGTCGCACGTTCAACGCCTGGAGCACAAGTTGAGGGACCAAGATGCCATCATCCAGAGAATGGTGGCAGAGATGGAAGCTCTCAAATGGCAAGTAAAAGGAAAGGGTGTTGCTGGAGTGGGTAACCACTGTGAGCGTACCCAGACCCGTCGTTCGGGCAGCCAGAATCAGCGGCACATGCCCTCCCTCTCCATCACCAGAAGCTATAGGGTTGGAGACTCAAACCCGCTTGCAGAGAAGTCTAGCACGCAAGATAGTAGCTACCATCCCTCACGTCCGCCGACGACGTCAAGATATTCCTACTCCGCTCATACTTAAGGGACGTCCTGAAGGAACGAGCTTGCCGACGGGAGGTTCAAAGGGTGCCAACACTCCAGCAGTTATCCTACGGAGGTCATGCCAGTGAGGAAGTCATAATGCCGCCACCCCGTTCAGCCGTGCCTATCCTCATGGACAAAGATTTGGCGAGGCTGAGCACCACCCCCTCCACCCTTGAAACAGAGACAACACCGCTCCCAGCGGGCTTTCACTAGCCCAAGTTTACACTTTATGACGGGAAAACCAATCCGTACATGTATGTTAGCCACTTCCGACAGTCATGGCTGGACACAGGCATAATGATGCTCTCATGTGCCTTATTTTCCCATCAAGTTTGGGCGAGTTGGGCCTAAAATGGTTTGAGAGGCTTCCGGAGGAAAGCATCGAAAGATGGCAGCAGTTGGCGGAGGCATTCGTGACTCGATTCAAAACCAACACCAAAACGCCAAAGGAAGTGGACCACCTCCTGAGCGTCAAGATGGAGTCGAGCAACTCCCTCACAGCATACAACACTAGGCATTGGGAAACCTTCAACGAGATCCTAGATTGCCTGACCAACCTGGAAATCACCCAGTATAAGTGCGATCTCCCGGTCGGACATAGACTGAGGGACTCGCTCACGATGAACCAACCGAATTCCATGGGGCTGCTGATGCAACGTATCAATGAGCACATCCGAGTAGAAGATGATACAGCGGCGTCCACCGTGAAGACAAATCCGGTAACAACAAACAAAAGGGTGGCTGGAAAAGTACACGCGGTCGGACAGGAGACAAACCATCCAAGTGACCGCGCAAGGGAATCCGATCGTGGTCTAGATTGTAGGAA